ATCGTGCTCAACGGCCTCTTCGTGGGGATCATTGTGGACAACTACACCAACATCGGCTCGGAGAACAAGGCCATCACGGTGGACTCCATTGAGGAGTTCCGCGAGGCGTGGCTCAAGTTCGATCCGCAGGGCGGCCTCACCTCCCCACTCGCTCGGGGGCGTTGCGGGCAGCGTCCCGTAACACGAACTTCCCGCTGCGATTAGGCTGCCTCACCATCCCGTCGCACTCGCTACTCGCGCTGCTGCAGTCGCTGCCTCCACCGCTCGGCAAGGCGGTGGTGGCACACGAGGGGAGCGCCGCGCCCGATGGGGCGACCCGCCTCGACCTGCTCACGTGGATAAACAAGCTCGACATCCCCGACCGCGGCGGCCGCGTGCACTTCACGGAGGTGCTCAACGCGCTCTCTTACGATGTCGCTGGCGTGCCGCTCCCGCTGAACGACACGACGCGGCAGATGCAGCGCTCCGTCTCTCGCAGCACCGTCTCGGCCGGCCCCGCCAAGCCGACGCACAATGTGGCAACGAGCTACATCGCGACGCGGCTGCAGCAGCGCTGGAGGGGGCACGTGGGGCGTATCGACCCCGACGGCGGCCTTGCGGCCTTGCGCAGGGCGTCGGAGGAGCCGCAAGAGCGAGGCGCCAGCTTGCTGGTGATGGCGCGGCGGGCGAGCTCGATGACGCTGCTGAGGGGCAGCAGCACGAACCAGGTCGCGCCGACGACGTGAGAGACAGGAGGCGGCCATACGTGTAAGTATTTTCTTGAGACGGAACTGTCATTTGCAAGGGACAATAACTATCGTCACATTTTTGTGCACGGCCCTCTAGCTCTGCCGCCACCCGCCAGCTACCCGTGCCGCGGCTTGCACGGGCGGGCGAGGGTCCGGAAGCCCGCGCTGGCGCCCGCGATGAGGCCCGCGGAGGCGAGGAAGGCGGACTCGTGCGAGGCGGTCGTGGCGAGGAGGGAGAGGGCGATCGGCATCGCCACGAATGTGACGTCCCCCACCTGCGCGAGCAGCGCCGACTGCGCGCCGCGGAGGTGCGGCGGCGTGACGTCGTTGGCGAGGGCGGCGATTGAGCTCATCAGGAAGGCCTCTCCGAAGCCTAGCGCCGCCATGGTGCCGAGGAGGTGCAGCTGCGAGTCGACGGCGGCCAGCGACGCGAAGGACGCGACGAGCATCCCACCGCCGAGCGAGACGGCGGGGACGCGGCCAAGCGCGTCGGCGGCGGCGCCCCCGAGCGGAGCGCCGAGGACCCCCAAGGCCGACGAGACCGAGTAGAGCGTCCCGAGCTCCGCGGGCGAGGCGCCGTGGGTGGCGGCGGCGTACAGCGGCAACACTGTCAGGCTGCAAGACCAGCCGGTGAAGAGGGCGCACTGCATCAGCATCAGCGCCTGCTGGTTGCGGTCGCGCGCTAGGGCGCCGAAGCTCCGCTGCGTGCCGTCGAGCAGCGCCCGAAAGCGCAGCGACGCCACCGAGGTGCCCGGCGCGGGCGGCTGCGTTTCCGGCAGCAGCCAGTGTATGGCGGGGGCGGTGGCGAGGAGGATGCCTCCGACAAGGACGAAAGGCAAGCCGATCCCCGCTCGCTCGGCGAGGAAGCCGCCCAGCGCCGGCCCGAGGATCCAAGCGAGCGCTCCGGCGGCGTTCAGCGCGCCGAGCAGCCTCCCCTTGTGCTTCGGGTAGAGGGAGAGCACGTCCATCGCGTACGCGGTGGCGGCGCTCCCGCCGACCGCCGAGCCCGCGCCCATCAGCAGCCGCGCGGAGACCATCGACCCGAGCCCTCCGGCACACGCGGTCGCGATGCAGCCGACGCCGTCGACGATTGCGCCACCTACCCACGGCGGCTTCCGCCCCAGCACGTCCGCCAGCTGGCCTATTGGCTAAGAATGGGCATGCATCCTTTGTGTCAATGGCTTGCGCCCCAGCACGACCGCCAGCTGGCCTATTGGCTAAGAATGGGGATGCATCCTTTGTGTCAATGGCTTGCGCCCCAGCACGACCGCCAGCTGGCCTATTGGCTAAGAATGGGGATGCATCCTTTGTGTCAATGGCTTGCGCCCCAGCACGTCCGCCAGCGGTGGCCGGCTGGCAGGTTGAGGCAGGCGCGCGCCATGGCCGGCACGGCGATCACCACGCCGACGTGGGCCTCGGTCAGGCCCACCGAGGAGGCGTAGGCGGGCAGGATGGGCACGATCATGCCGATGCCGAGCTGCAGGAGCGCCGAGCTCACGAGCACGACTCCGAGCTGCGTCTTCGCCTGCTGCGTGAGCACAAGCCCGCGCAGCGACGAGTCGCCGCTGTCGCTGTCAGCGTTTCCGCCGCTTCCGCCGCTGGTACTGCCGCTGCCGCTGCCGCTGCCGCTGCTGTCGCTACTATCGGTGCTGCTGCCGCCACTGCGGCCACTGGCGACGCGACGCTGAGGAAGTGCACACGTGCTCCAAGGGTCGCTGCATAGACGAAGGCGGGGCCTGGCTGCTCGCAGCGAACAAGTACGGCCGAGCCGTAGTGGTCGTGCCTGCATCATGGTCGTCGTCCGCTCGGCGATGAAGGCTCATGGAATCGCGAACAGCATTCTTTTTTTCGCAAGGTTGTAAAATTCTGTTTCGCGCCTTTTGTTTTGGTTTGTTGTAAAATTCTTTTTCGAGGGAGCTTTGTGGTATTTTTTTTCTCACGCGCCGCGCCTGAAATTCTTTTTCTCGCGATGTCTGCCCCGCCGCGGCGCTCGCGCCGCTCGCGCCGCCTCGCCCCCGCCGCCCCTTCCGCTCCCTCGCCAGACACGCCGCCGCCCACCCGCCTCCTCGATCTCCCCTCGGAGCTCCTCGTGCGCGCCCTCTCTCGCTGCGACCCAACCGATATCGCTCGCGCCGCGGCCGTCTCGCTCCTCTTCCACGCCTCGCTTGCGGTGGATGCCATCCGCTTGCGGGCGCAAGAGCGCGGCTTCGAGCTGCCGGCGCTGCCAGAGGGCGAGGGCTGCGCCGTGCGGTGGCTGTGCTTGTCGGCGCTGCTGCGCGAGTCCAACCCGCCGGCGAGGCTTGCAGCAGGCCACTTCCACAGCCTCTTCATCGACGGCGAGGGGCGGCTCTCGTCGTGCGGCGGGTTGCCGCCCAACTCTCCACGGCTACTAGGCCACGGTGAAGGCGTGACGCGGCTGAATACGCCGACCCGCCTTCCTCCGCTGGGCGGCGAGCGCGCCGTGAGCGTGTCGGCTAGAGACACCCACAGCCTCGCCCTCGCCGCCGACAGCACTGTCTGGAGCTGGGGCGTTGGAGGCTGGGGCC